CTCTACAGCTGTTTTTCCTCTCACGTCTGTCACCGAGCAGCTCTCATTCTTGGGTGGCAGACCGTTAAATTAGCAAAATAAAATGACAAAAATCGGCCAAAAAAGACCAATAGCCGATATATTTCCACCTTTTAGGACGCGAGCAGCATTTTCTCTTTCCCCAGGATGACCAGCGCAATTTCTCTCTCTGCTCTAAGGCCAGGTGTCTCTGGGCAAAGACTTCATCAATGAGATCCTCCACCTGAAACACACAAACACAAACACACATACAGACAAAGTGGAATAAAGACAATATTTTCTTCTTCTCATAATAAAGAGCTCATTTCCACAGGGGTGAGACACTACCTGTCCTTCCTCATTGTCCTCCTCCTTCTCTGCCTCCCTGTTTATCAGAGACGGGGTGTCAACTACCCGCCAACTGCAACCAAAGACACACTTTTTGAGGTGACAGATAATTATGGTGGACAAAGCGGTTTCTTTCTATTTCAAGTAAAAGCAGTGTGTTTAATTACATTGCATTACATTGTACTTAATCTTACTAGATGTGCATTAAAAACCCTGAAAAAAATGTAATGCTGTTAATTTAATTCATAAATTACTATATACAGTCATGAACACATTGACAAACATTGTAAAGCACTTCCTAAATTAAAGGTGCTACAGATGGACCAACAAAATCAATACTGGACAATAAGCGACAATTTGTATTGTTTGCAACTCTTTTCTTTAACATGACTTTGCTTGCATCAGAAATTCAATTTGAGCCCTTACATTGTGATTAATGTTTTGGGGACAATGGAAAGTGCTTGGTTTAAGAAACTTGGGAAGAAATACCAAACCAGGACTTAAAGATTTCTATGCAACCCCCCTTCAGAAGCAGTTCTGTCCCATACCTGGGTGTCAGGATGTCTTTGTACTGCAGCTTTTCCACTTTAGCCACTGACATGGGGATGACGATGTTGTTGATGTTGTACACACTCTCTCCCTGGCGTTTGCGAACATAGCGCTAAAAGGAAAAATGGTTAAAGTTAAAGTAGGAGTAACATGACATAGGTGCACACATTCAACCAAGGTGGCTCGTAGACTGACTAGCTTTTTCACATATGCACATCAAGTGATGCCTCTGAGCTTATGTTGTGCTGCATTCATGCTGTAAGAACTAAAACATTTGTGCTCTAGGCATATTTGGAATTGTGGTTTTTAGACCTTGAGAGTCCTTGAGGCCTAGGATGTGTTTGGAAAGTGAGGATATTTCGGTCCCAACCTCACCAGAAGAATGATTAAAACCCGGTTCTACAGGTTATAATGGGGTCTACGAAAGGTTAGGTCTGGTAAGGGTTAGGATTTGGGCATTAGTGTGTATCACTGGGAGTTCTCACAAGTATACAAGTTCAAAAATACGTTATAATGTGTAATATACGTAATATGTAATATGTTACCTGAGAGGTCTGCTTGCGTGAAACCTGTGTAAAGCTCTCCTCCAGCACTTCTTCTGAACTGTCCTCAGTGTCACAGAACTGGTACAGAACATCTTCCTCATCTGGGTATAACACACACACATTCCCATGTTTATGCTGTAATTACTACTGGGGCGGCTGATTCACCCAATCAGCGGTTTTGTTTTTGATAAATCGAATATATTTTGAAGATGGTTGTGTTTACCAATCACAGACTGATTTACTAAAAACCTGAACTGCGTTTCATTAGTAGTTCCACTTCGCCTTATTCACTTATCCTCAGCCCTTGGTATTATGTAACAGCATACGAGGTCACTTGGAGAACAGAGGGAAAGTGGAGGAGCGGGGGATTTAAATGAAACGCACTTGCCCTTGGAGTCAGTAGTTTTGCTTTGCAGGTACTTCACAATAACTACTAATGCCTTTCAATGAGGAACTCCATCTCCTTCACCTGACCCTTAAATACCATAATAACAAACAATCACTATTGTGTGGTGTTTTAACATTACTACAATGTGAACAAAAGAGCAAAACGGTATAATTCAGTAATGTGGGTTGTTCTAAATGCAAAAATGGGTAATTATAACATTCTAGTGACGTACTTGCAATTTATTGGAATTTATAATTACTCTGATTATCTCAATATTGTAAGTTACACTTGTAGATTGTTTGCTCTGATATTCTTCCTGTAACTTGTTTATTTCCAATCACAAAAACATGTTTTAAATACTGTAAATGAGCAGCCCGTTGATGTCATAGCAGACAGGACATGAAACTGCACTTCAGTTTTCCACAGAAACTGAATGACACTTGTCATGGCGATGGGGATTTCCCCCGAGGGCAAGCGCAGAGGGAAAGTCAACGAGGGCATGTTGAACGACTAATGAACCGCAGCTCCAGAATACAGGCTGAACATACACACACACCTTCTCTCAGCCTGTGGATGTGTCTTCTCTTCCTTTTTCTCTGATTGGCTCTCCTGTGTTGACTCTGAGCAGACCCTACTGTCCCGATTGGTGACAGACCCATAACTCGGCTTTTATTATGTCTTACATGCTGCTTGTGTTTGTGACCTATAATTACACACACACAAACACACACACACACACACAAACTGAGTTAATACACCACAGGAATTTCCTTTCATTCCAATCTAGCCTTCAGTTCCTCAGAGATTTTACGCTTTGGTTAAAGTGTACAAAAGCTAATCCTTAACCATTATTCCTAGTGTTTTGACAGATGACGGCCTCTCAGCTTTCTGTTCCTTGCTCACATCAAACAGCAGCTTTATTCAAAGTAATCATAGTGCGGATAACTTGCCAGCCAAAAGTAAAAAATGTTAAATCTTTTATTTTTTTGCTTAAGTAGGTGAAAAATGATCAAATAAACTGCACTAAAAACTCTTCCACTGGATTTATATCTATAAAACAGTACATCATTTGTGTAGTAGTGCCTGTGCTAGTCTTACACTGTATAAACACATAAATAACTATTAATTAAGTTACAACATTAGTCATTATTCTCCATGTCATTTGCCAATATTTCCATCTCCTGCTTGCTTTGATGTAATCTCATTTTAGCTACAACCAACTGTGATAAGAGGTTTGTTGCCATGTGCCAGACTGTTATTTTAAGTGACGTTTACTCGACAGTCTTCTTTCACTGTCAACAAAAGGAGAATAAGATCATTCAAGCTGACAGGAAATCGACAAAGTGGTGAGTGAGTGACGTATTCATCCATTTCTAATCTGCTTCCTTTGTGTCTCCTCTTTTACTCTCTCTACTTCTATTCTCAATCAATCAATTTTTCGATCTTTTTTTTTACCCCACCTTTTGTATTTATCACAAAAAATAAAAACAATCACCCATCGAAAAACATAGTGTTTAGTCAACCCTTTGGATCATCAATATACACTGTGGGCAGCCATGAGAGCAAGACCCTCTTAAAGCCCAGAAACTTAGAGGTATGCGAGTGCTAGAAGTAAACGATCCTTCATCAGCTTTGGACTAATACATAAAGACACATACTGACATTGGTGAAATGCCAAATGGTTTCATTTCCATCTACTTCTCAGTGGGACGCCTCGTACAGACCCAGTGGGCTATCTGACATGCTATGAGCCACTTACGACGACACACAGGGAGATAACAAGCAGACCCAGCGGTCGATTTTGAACCAGTCATTTTATTCACAGCGGTATTTCTTCCTTTCACTGAATACAACCGAATGAGAGAACTGTCTAAACAAGATTAATTGTATCTTTTAATTATACATAGCCATAAATTATTACTATTATTAAACAATGTCAACTAAAAAAAGGAATTAAAACCTATTAACATTTAAATGTTGTGCTAATGTAACTAATTAACTTACTCTGAATGGAAAATAAAAAACTATTTATTAAGTGCAAATAATTCACATTATTTCGTGCTACGCTTTATCAGATTAGGAACAAAGTGCCAGAGCAATAGTAATTCTAATAAAAGACACCATGGGAAGGTTTTTTACAGTGAAGCTGCAGCAAGTAGTGTTGACTTTGCATTGATATTAAATTACCATTGACTTCAAAAAACAGACTTCATTACAGCTCCACCACAGCAAGACAAGTGGATCAAAAGCCGGTGAGGCTCCTGTCTACGAGATGAATAACAACAAGAATGCAGGTGCGGCCTTTTAAGTAGCACATCTGCCTTCCTGTCATCTTACTCATCGTTTGACTATGCACAGCGTATAAACACGTTGGCTCAGTACATGGCAGTAGGTTTGCTCTCCTTCTCTATTACACTACTGCAAAGGCACTGAACTTACCACTTTTTTTCATTGCCATGTAACTGAGCCAACGTGTTTATACGCTTGTGCATAGTCAAACGATGAGTAAGATGACAGGAAGGCAGATGTGCTACTTAAAGGCGCACCTGCATTCCTTGTGTTATTCATCTCGTAGACAGGAGCCTCACGGGCTTTTGATCCACTTGTCTTGCTGTGGTGGAAGCTGTTAATTGGAAGTCTGTTTTTTTGAAGTCACATGGTAATTTAATATCAATGCAAAGTCAGACCACTACTTGCTGCACTTCACTGTAAAAAACCTTCCCCATGGTGATCCTTTTATTAGAATTACTATTGCTCTGGCACTTGTTTCCTATCTGATAAAGCGATAGCACGACAATAAATTGAATATTTGCACTTAATAAATAGTTTCTTCTATTTTCCATCCAGAGTAAGTTAATTAGTTACATTAGCACACATTTAAATGTTAATAGGTTTATAATTCCTTATTTTAGTTGACATTGTTTTACAATAATAGTAATATTTATGGCTATGTATAATTAAAAGTACAATTAATCTTGGGTTTAGACAGTTCTCTCATTCGGTTGTATTCAGTGAAAGAAAGAAATAACCGCTGGTGAATAAAATGACTGGTTCAAAATCGACCGTAGAAGGTTTCATGTTTTTTGTTTACTCTCCCTGTGTGTCGTTAACATACGTGTACGTTATATAACACTTATTTATCTGTTATATTAACCTTATCATAATAATATAATTTTATACATGATAAATCGTATTTTAAATAAAATGTGTGCTCACTCATGCATGTCATGATAGCCCACTAAGTGGGTTCTGTATCTGCCGTTATACCCAACTGAGAACAATATCGTAGATGAGGAAATGATATTCACATATGCAATTAAATAACCAATTGCAATCAGTTAAATGCAAGAATCTTTAGTATTAGTCCAAGCTAGGTAATGAAGGATCGATTTACTTCTAGCGCTTCGCATAACTCTTATTGTATTAGAGTCTTTAAGGGAGGGTCTTGCTCATCAATGGCTGTCTCTATCCGGATAATAAATGTGATGATCCAAAAAAGAGAAATAAGACAATAATAACAACTAATGTTTTCGAATTTGTGATCTTGTTTTTATTTTTTGTGATACAATATAATTGGAGAAAAAAAAAAAAGTATCGAAAAAAGTTTGAATTTTGATCTGAACTGAAAGTAGAGAAGGTAAAAAAAAGAGGAGACATCAAAGGAAGCAGATTTAGAAATGGATGAATATGTCACTCACTCACCACTTTGTCGATTTCCTGTCAGCTTGAATGAACATTATATACTCCTTTTGTTTGACATGTGAAATGAAAACGTCAATGATTATACGATCAAACTTTATAAATAATAACTCGCATTGGACACTCATGGAAACACCTATATCACTAGGTTGTGATATGATAGACTGAAATGAGTTAGAACAGCAAAGCACACCGTGGATTGGATACAAGGTATTATGAAAATGAAACATAGAGAGTAATAAATGGAACTACAATGTAATATGTTAACTCATTGTTTTTAAGAATATAAAATAGTTCTTAAATTGTGACTTTATGATCATATCTTAATATATCAACACAGTGGATAAAAAGATATAGCTCATAGGTATAACTTACAATTAAACACCAAATAATTATGTTATGGTATCTGTTTTTATTTTATTTTTATTCTTCTTTTTTTTTTCTGTATGATTTAAATTTATAATTCTAGTGGAAGAGTTATCTTGACGTGCCAGTCTTATTATGGAATTCTTTATTACTGACTTAAGCAACAAAAATACCAAACAACTTTAACATTTTTTACTTTGTTGGCTCATGGGGCTTGATAATTATCCGCACATTAACAAATAGTATACATCTTTGATAAATGCTGCTGTTATAGATAGTGAGCAAGGAACAGAAAGCTGATTAAAATAAATATATATTATAGGGCTGGTTATCTGTCTAAAAACACTAGGATAATAATGGTGTATATAAGAGATTTTGCTTTCTTCGATATATCACCTTATTAAACCATACTATTGAATCTGTAAAATTCATCCGGACAGACTATCTTGAATGGCTGTGTGATTGTGATACGAAAAGGAATAATGTCCCTGTGGTTTGATGTAATTAATTTCTCTATGTGTGGGATAGTGGTGTATGTTGAGGGAGTGCGTTGTTTGGTCATATTTTGTATTGTATGGTTCTACTATAATTTATCAAGAAGCATGATGAAGGACATAATATGATTAATAGCGAATGTGGTATATGGTACCTCGTCACAATCGGGTCAAGTGAAGTGGTGCTGCTCAGGGATAGTCAAACACTTAAAAGAGCCAATCAGAGAAAAATACAGAATAAAAGATCCATGTCCACAAGAAACGAGAAGAGTAAATAAATATAAATATTAATTATAATATATATTTCAAGTTTTAAAAATAAATGTTATTAAAAATAATAAAAATTCAACAAAATACTCATTCAAAAACCAATGTGTGGTATAGTTACAGACACTGCATATTCGGGACTAGCGGGTATCCAATATTAGACGTTCAAACATGCCGGACTATTATATCTCTCCCCGGTTGCCCTCGGGAGAAATCCCATCGCCATAGAATC